CCCGGATTACAAACAATTAGGTTAGTGCTAAGAATGTAATAGATAAGAAACTCACGGCTAGTATTTATGTATTTTCGAGCTGCCCCAGATTGAATGCCTGAAGTTGCAATCTCATCCTACAAGTACATTATCTCATTAAAATTTCTCGACGGTGTGTCCTTTTTGTGCGGCATGTACCACGAGTCGATGACCATGCTGGTACCACCAATCGCGTCGAGTCTCGTTGCTGTTAAATCCGATGAGCTATGGGAAGGGATGAGAAAAGTATGGTATTGAGGTTTAACCACATCACAAGATTTAGGCTGACCATCCGATTTCTAGTAGAATATTTCGTATCCACTCAGATGAAGCCCGGTGGTCTACAGCCAGCGCTCCTGAATGTGTGCGTTGTCGACAATTTCCTCCAACAGGAAGACGGAAAAGTTGTCCGGCCAGCCTCGAGTGCTGAAGTTTTATCTGGACAACCTTCATAACCATTTTTTAATTCTAGTCAGCAGCCGGGCGGTGAACAGTATGCCTTCCAGGAGCTTATTTGCGTCGTCGATCACGTCAGGCTCTTCTTCGTCAGCATTGTTCGCCCGGAAAACTTTTAAGTTGGCCCGCCGGACAACAAAGGAGACAGTCGGCCTTTTGCAAAGCCTCGATGCTATCTCCACCAATGAGTATCAAGAAGGACATGCTAGCTGTTCGTTACTCTCCAGCATGAATGACCACTCATTCGTCCATCGGAATTTCGTGGTTCTGTGTGCGCAGGTGTTTTAACAGCGCCCCGCTATCCATCTCCATATGTGGGACCAAAATACGAGCTCTCGGCCTCCTGGGGATGTCACTGTCAGGGATGAGCTTTAGCCTCAAACCATCCCAAGTATCAATGATGCTCTCCAGGCTCTTCTCCAAGAAAATCTTTGAGAGTTGGTCCTCACATTTCACCACCCTGTAACAGCGCACTACCTCCGCAGAGTCGAATCTGGGGCTCTGCCATTACCGCGTCAATTGAGATAGCCCGACATCTATCCGTCCATCCATCGCCTGAAAAAGAATTTTGTCTTCGGCGTCCTTTGGGTGCACGATCCCTTTAGTATGAGACTACCTAAACCTAAGTGTACACGGTAGAGAAAAAACGCGAGACTTAGACAAAAATCTCGCCAGATACGTGTAAACATTCAATAGAGCTCTACAAGAGACTCACTTACAAAGTCTATGTGAGAGTTATTTAGCGAGACTTTTTCGTCGTGTACACAGTCCAACGGAGCTAGATCGGAAACTCTACGACAACTCTACGCTCTATTTAGCAAGCTAAATAGACTTTTTGCTCTACGGAGACGTATAGTAAAGTCTTGACAATGAACTTCATTACAGATTGATAAATTTTGAAATGGCTACGGCATTAAATCGTATATTCGATACAAGCACACCATTTTAAGTACATTTAGAATGTAGCCAAATAATGAACTGAGAATCATCCTCTTATTTTCTTTGGCGTTTCAATGGCTTTTCCAATAGCCTCCGTCCTTTGCAAAGGGGCATAATTATTGGTTAAAACATTTGAACAGGTGGTCTGGTACTCTGGCAACAGTCGTTGCATCAGTTATCTGCTGTTTTGTCAGAGTGCCAGGCCACTTGCTCAACTTGGTGAATACCTACATGCATATACATATATAGTAGTTTGGCTGCAACTGCTCGGAGAAACTGTTTGATTTGAGTCCAAAAGTACACAGAGTACCGAAGAGAGAAGTTGCCATGTTTAATTTTTAAGTACATTTGTCTACTTTTAGGTACATTTTTGCAAAAATGTATTTTATGCCGTCAGAAAATATGTGAATGCTGTCAAATCGACGAAGGGCTAGCGCTCCGCCGATGGCGCCAAATATATTTTCTACAACGTGGATTTGATATAAATACATGTGCATACAACAAGCATTGACAACAATTCGAGATAGAAAACTAACTCTAGGCGAGAGGTAAATATTGTCTACCGTGTACACAGCTTGTAGAGTACGTGATAGATAAAAGTTGAGATTTCTCTATTTTGTCTCTAGCTAGAGTCAATATCTCCTAGAGTTGCTCTACCGTGTAAACTTAATTGAGAGAGGAGATTTTTATTTCAGTAAAACTCTCGAGAGATTTCTCTACCGTGTGCGCTTAGCCTAATGCCGGATTTCCACTAGGCATTAAATGGCAAAAATGACAAATGGCAAAGTCGGGCATTAAAAAATTATCGTGCCATTATGTAAAAAAATAGTCATTGAGTTCATTTCCACATGGCATTTTTTTTAAATGACAGACATTTTTTGTCATTTCAATGCCAAGTGGTATCGTTTGTCCCTAAGTACTTTTGACGTCGAAGGTTCGGTATTTGGCTACCCCTTGACAGCTGTAGAACATTGTTGATTAGATGACGGAGTACTTGGCCCACAGTTCTGGCTTCGCCATATGGGGTCAAAGTCTCCTGACCAGGGTTGCCACTTTGGTAAATTGTTACCAAAATTGGTAGAAAAAATTTGGGTTTGTAAAAAGGTAAATTTTTTCTCATTTTGGTAGATTTTTGATGAACTTTCCGTTCCCGATTTATTTTTCGTAGTTGTCTTTAAATATATTATACATTTCTTTGCATACTTTTTTATAATTACATACGTATAAATGTATATCGATATATGGCGAACATATCGCGCTCCATTCAAAACTATTTTGACTGGAATCCCGAGGAGCTTTTGATTGCCTAAATATTTTAAATGATTATTCAAATATAAAGAAAAAATTTACAGGCATGTAAAAAACAAAATTAACGGGAATTTTAAGCAGCACATTGTTGGCTATACTCAAATCGTATTTGCTTTAAAACTCCATACCTGAAATTGTTCTAAAAATTCAGAGTAAAAAATTCGAAATTTAGACGAAAATTTTTGGAATTTCTCTATATGTTGTATATAGTTTAAATCCTCGATTTTTTGGATTTAGTTAAAGCAATAAAAAATTTTGAAGTTTCATTGTTGCCTTTAGTTTCATCACTTCCGCTTTTGGTTGAAGAAAACTGAGAAAATGCCAATAATATGACTCAAATACCGTATAACTACTTAAATAAAAAGTTCTTAACAACAATTTTAATTCTTATTGAAATAACTAAAAAAAAAATTATAATAAAAATATCGTTTTAATTAAAATAAGTAAAAAATAACAAAACTATGGTTTTTGTTAAAACAATTATAAAACAGTTATTGGTAGATAAATATTTACCAGATTTGGTAGATTTTTTTCAAGTGGATGGTAAATATTTTTTTTCGTCAGTGGCAACCCTGCTCCTGACTCTATAGAAGGGGCTCCTCCTCCGCGGAGAGCTCGGACGACCCAGTCGAGGTGTCGCAAAGTTGTGAGTGTTTGTCGTCAGACCTGGTTCTTATGGTCGCCCACCATAGTTGCCAACTTGGTTGCTTACAGCACAGATTTAGTGCTTTTTGAAAATTAAAACGCCAAAAAAATTATTTAGTACCTAGTGCCTTTTTTAGTGCTTTTTTTCTGAACTAAAATTACTTCGAGATAGTTACAACCTGCAATAAATTAAAATATTTAAGGCTGTGGCAGCACTGAATTTACAAGAATCTACAAATTGAAATTTACTAAAATACAACCATGATTGATAAAAAGTTGCAAACCCACCTTGTTAAATACTATTCACGTTGAAAATGCTAGTACCCAAGTAAGTTAAGTATTTGTTTTTTTCTTTTCTAATTATTTGTAAAATTTTATTTTTTTTACCACCTGAGTTTCTTGGTGCTGAATCCAAATCTGGCCTCACAATTGCTCTAGCACTAGAATAATGAGATATCCTAACCTCAAAGTGCCAAAAACATGGTTTTTAGAGATATTTGAGGTTATATAATGAAAACATCAAATTATTTGCTCATTTCTAATCAGGGCATCATTTTCGTTTGATGCGATTCGATTTTTCTTTCTCGAGATATACCAGTTTTAATGTGCAGTACTTCGGCATTATGTTATGAAAAAAGTATCCCTTGATTCAAAAAAATTTGGTGTTGTGGTAAAACGCTTTTTTTCCAAGTTTTTGGTGCTTTTTGAAAATCAAAAGATGGCAACACTATCCAAAAGGAACCCAGGTTTAACAGTGCTGGAGATGACCTGCCACAGCGACGTAGCGAGTGAAAGGTAATATTTAGTTCACTGTGGAAAAATCACTGATAGGTAAATATCGCCCATCAATACTGGAGAGTTTATTATTTTTCCTGATATGCTAGATCGTTAACTCTGACGTCGGTGCTTTCTAGTCTTTCGACACTGTTTCGCTGGAGATCCTTTCGGAGCACATTGCATCCGCTGTTCGCACGTCTCTCTGTCTGGTGAAATTAAAGAAGGACTAAACCAAGTTCAGTAACCACTAATTCGAGCAAAATTTTTCTGTATCTCGATCTTATATCTTACTGGGTACACGTGAATAATCGAGAACAACTATAAATACGAATTATAATCGAAAAAATCGAAAACGACCAGCATGAACGAAAATGTGAGAGTATTTGTAACTAACTGTGATTTTTGGACTTGCACTTGAACGTGTTATGTATAAGTAGTGTTTGCAAGAAGGATGTATGTACAAGAATAGGTTTATCTTCGTTCTTAATTGGATGACAAATATTCCATAAGTACTTGTGTTTAAAAAAATAGAAACTAATTGTAAACTTTATATTACTGTTTTCAGATCAACACCAACATACTAAAATAGTTGTCTATCCTATTTTGTCACTGACTGTGGGATTAATTATAGCATTGTGTATAGCAGTTTTAGCAATTATTCTTTCCCTACGCGCAACATGTAGAAACTCGAAGCATAGGGCAAAAGAGTTTTCACATGATCATAATTTATGGGATGCTTCCAGTCGCAGTTCCGGAAACAAAGACATGGATGTGAATGAAAGTGATGAAAGAAGCCCAGACGTTATACCAGAGCTGCTCTCTTTCGAAAAACCGGTATGTAAAATGTATTTATGATGAAGTGCTGCCTCATTTACACTTTCTTTATGTTAAAAACAAAAATTGCACTTTGAAAGATTTGCACTGTTTTAACCATACCTTCGCCAATTCAGTTAACTCAATTTTTCTTGATACAAGAGCTGATAATCATCAAATAAAACTAAAAACCTCTAGCTGAGTGCTTTTCAATTAATTTCAAATGGTCATAAAGAACCAGAGCTGGGAAAATGCAGTTAAAATACAATTACAATTACCTTCCTCAATAATTGTAATTAGGAATCAATTCCTTCAGTTCACAGCAGTCTTGATAATTTAAATTAAATTTTAATTTTTATCACTAACTTGTACTAAATTTTAATTACTATTATTTTTATGATATTTAGTCTTTATTTAATTATTGTTCCAAATAAAGTAAAAATAGTTGCTAAAAATTTAGAATCAATATTGCCTTTATTTTATTTACATAAAACGGTGAACACTTTAACATCAGATATTATGATTTTAAATGCATATATGTAAGTACATAAAAGTATATACACATAAAGATTTACAACTAATGGATATTTTACATTTTTTCTACAGTGGCTCATTAAAAACATTTTTCATCTTATTTTTTCACACAACTCACAAATACTGAGGTTGACAAAAAATTTTAAATCAAGGTGTTTAGCCCAAAGTTCTGTGTTGCTGTCTTCTATTCTAGCAATTTCACACTTATGAAACAATAAGCGTATTAGTGGAACCTGGAGTGCCTGATAATACAGAAGAAGGGTTACATTTTGAGGCCCAAATTGAACTTCGTCAATAAAATTCTTCATAGTACAAAAAAAGTTTACACGAAATTGTTTTATGTTTTATCTAAAATAGTAGGTAAGTAGAAAGACCTTGAAATTGTATCAAAAAGGTACAACTGTATCGAAACAATCAACACTGGTCCATAGCAACGGATTTTATTACTTTCTCAATTCCTTAGAAGTAATTTCAAATGTATATTTCTTTCTCTTAATTCTGTTACAAGGAATTTCATATTGTAATCGGAATTAACGCTAAGTTTTCAGACGAGAGACTGATGGGTCTTGAGTCCTTAGGCACCATATGCCCTCTCTTGCCTACCTTGAGAATGAAAACTACTTTAACACTTTTCCAAGTAGACTGAGCTTAGTTTGAAAATGCTTTCCAGCCATGAAATAAGTCACGACTGGTCCTACTGTAGCATTGCTGGAAATATACAGTTGAGATTCGTATGGAGGGAAGCTGTTAATTGCCCTTGCAATCTGCTCCCCTATTTCGTTAACGACATTATTCTTATAAAGTTTCAAGCTATCCTTATAGCTTAAGTTGATAGCTTTACAAGACTCTTTCTTGAGTTACGAGATCTCCCCTCCTCACGATGTAAGTTATTTCTTTCGGCCGAAGCTTATGGGGCAGGAGACTGTAAAGGCCGATCCCATTATGGGGAAAATATTCTCAAGTGACAACACTGATCCCATAGCCTTTACGAATTTGTTGCACTTGGTTTCTTTATCCTTCAAGGTCTCTAAATTACTGTACTAATATACCTGGTTTCCATACGAAATTAAGCAAGTTTATTGTTAAAATGAATTGCTCTATTCATTTTCAATAGACCATGAGTAATTCCTTTCACCATTTGGCTTTTAGTAATTTTAACGAACGTCTGAACCTATTTTTAACCGACTTCACAAAAAGGGGAAGGTTATCAATTCGTCGGAATATTTTTTTATATATGTTACCGCATAACGTTGGACCACGTTAATCGATTTTTATAATACTTTTTTTAAAGGAAAGTTGCTACCTCACAGGTTGTCCCACACTAATTTGCTTAAATCCTCTCATTGGATCATGAACGATAATCTTAAATTTGTATATGAGAATTAAAGTCGGTTTTGTTTTTTGCTTAAGAATTGCTTGTACTTTATTGATTTTGGTGGAGTTTTAACAAAACAATCTTTCGTTACACCAGTTTATTTTATTCAAGGATAAATTTATGAATTGTTTCCAAAAGCAATAAAGTTGATACAGTTTAAAACAATGAAAATAAAGCTCAATGACACAAAAGTTCCCTTTTTTTAAATTTGCCCGTATACATAGTTGATAATTTGGCCGGCAACGTTAAAGTATGTTGATATATAAATATACACCCCTATTCTGCAACACTTTCGTATTCCGATTTTGCTACGAATCGTAGAAATCGTATGCTGCAATCCGAATCGTATCTTCGAACTTTCGAAATTGGTAACAATGGCATGCCTAAAAACGAACGAGTAAGCTTTTTTGCGTAATTTTGTACGAATACAATTGTGTGTCGGAGGCGAGATAAAATATGTAAATCGATGTGCGTTTGTAGGAAATATTAGTGGTGTTTATTTAAACAGGGCCTGTGCCAACCGGTGACTTTTTTCTCCATGATGAGTTGGGGTGGAAAAATTTGCTATGGTGTAGTACAAATAAATTGAATCTTGCTGTGCTAAATACTAAGTAAAATTTTGACAGCTGAAAAACCAAAAAACGCTCGTGCGAAAGCTTAATTTTTGTGTGTTGCTGAAATTCTTAAAATTTATATTTATTTTATAATTTGCAAGTAACGTATGCTTTTTTATGCTGTTTCAGTTTTCATTTTCGTGTTCACTCTTTATAACCGCCAAGCAATATTATGTGTATACATGGTTATAAGCTGTCAAAGCTCCATGAGCTAGGTAAAACTCTGACGTTCGTATTCACCACGAGAAATGTCACATTTTTATTTATATTTTATCCGTCAAAATTTCCTCTTTTCTATCGTTTGTCACAGGCTCTTAGTAAGAGTTATAATCCCTAAGCGCGGCCGAAGGCAGAAGCAAGCGCAACAGGTGGTGGACCTAACAAAATGCATGTTTTCAATGGCTTGGAAGAAGCTGTTATTGTACTAACTGGATTGGGAACCAGTTCTGCAGGCATAGGAGAGTTCTGGGTTTTGGTTCAAGAATTCAACCAGAAGCTGACATAGATGCGCCCATGGTTACTATGCCCAGCAGCTCCGCATACCTTTGTGAGTCCATTGCCATAGCGCGCTCTTACTCCACTGCTATAACTGCGTATAACAAATGCATCAGAAACCATAATTTTCTTCAAAATATTTAAAATCAATCCATTTTACTATAAACAAGCACATGCTGAGTGTTTTAATTCCATTCCACTTTGTTTTCCTTCATACAGCTGAGTTCGAAAAACCACGGATACCTGGCAATGCTGCACATTTTTCCGCAAGGGTTGCAGCATGTCAATTTATCTTTTTTCGTAACGTAGCTACGAATTACGAATTACGAAAATTCGGGTTCTAGAATAAGAGTGATAATCTCAATCAAAGCTCTTTTTTTAATAATTCCGTTTACACATGCAAATCTCAGATTATTAGCTGTCGAATTGGTTGTGATTGTTATTCTCACATGTCAAGGAAAAGTTAAGTTCCTTCCAGTGGCGCAACTATACAATCTGAGGCCCGAGGCAAATTTTTTAGATGGGACCCTCCCAGTAAAAATCGCTACTTTTTAATCTAATTTTATTAAACCACTTAAGTAGTTACCCATCACTATTAATAATATTGTGTGCATTTTAGTTAAAAACCTAATCAATTGAATTTCAAGAGCATAGGTCTATACATATTTACAATGAAATAACAATTTAATTTTAATAGGATATTTATTAATAAAATTCTTTTCTCCGAGCTTTTTGTTTCGCAAAATTATCTACAACGTCATCAAAATATAAAGATCGAGCCATAGAGTTTTCAATAGACAGAATAGCCAAGTTACCAAGTAGCCCGTCTTATCCCATAGAGTTTCTTAAATAGGTTTTTATTAATTTAACCTTTAACTAACGAGGTGGTGGTAAATTTTACCCTCTCTTTACATTTTTTTTAATTCTCTCTTCCATTGCGCTCAATCAATTTAATTGTCTTGGTATCTTCATATATTGTGATCGTTGTTATTCAGTTGTGTTTTGGCTGAGCTAGACATAGCACGAGCGGAGTTACTCACATGCTGGTGTAAAAATTACCACTCCTCGGCATTTACCTAAATTTTTCTTTGAAAATATTTTACCACCACGTCCGCGTTAGCGTAAGTATTTAGTAGAATCAAATTTACCCCACATCGAAATTAACGTAATATTTTCGTGGAATTATTTTTACCACTCGTCTGTTTTCTTGTTGGTAAAAAATTATTTATTTCAAAAACGTTATATTACAAATTTTTTAAATTACGTGATATGCTATTTATGTTAACAGATCATGTCGAATTCAAAAAAACTCAGTGATTCAGTCATATCTCAATTTCTTGAGGAATGTTTTGAGGACGATGACGATGTTAGCGAAGTCGACGACGAAATTGTCGATCCGGATTTCTGCATTGAAGAAAGTGACATGGAGGATGAAATACGTATAGAAGATGATGCATGCAGTGAATACGATGAAGCGGATACAATGATTGTTGAGGAAATTGTTGGCAATGATGAAGAAGAAGTAGTTGTTGATGGAAATGTATGTGAATCTGCTGTAAACTACTTTTATGGAAAAAACGGGTTCAAGTGGTCAGCATTGGAACCAACATGCAGCGTAAAAACTCCTATTCATAATATTGTGCGGTTACCAGTTGCTACACAACCGCAATCGGAAAAGGATTTATATGGATATTGGTCGCGAATTTTTGATAGCGATATGGAGAACATGATTTTAGAACATACAAATACAAAATTGAAAGCAAAATTTGATCTAACAGCACAAACTGAAGCGAAAATGCTTGATAAAATAGAATTGCGTGCATTTTTCGGTATCTTGATTTACACATCCGTATTCAAGTCTAACCACGAGGCCGCTCAATTTATTTTTGCAACTGATGGAACGGGCAGAGAAGTTTTTAGAGCTACAATGTCTAAGAACCGGTTTCTTTGTAATCTAAATTGCTTAAGATTTGATAACTCCTGTGACAGACAACAACGATTATTGAACGACCCATTAGCAGCAGTTTCTGGTATATTCAACAAATTTATAGAAAACTGCCGAAAAAGTTATTCAATTGGTACTCATGCCTGCATAGATGAAATGTTGGTACCATTTCGTGGAAGATGCAAGTTCAGAATTTACATGCCACAGAAACCCGCAAAATATGGCATTAAGATAATGTCATTGACTGATGCACGCACACAATATCTCTCAAATGCATATATATACTTTGGAAAAAACTCGGATGCAGTTGGTCTAACAAATGAAGAAAAACGACATGCAGTACCAACACAAT